ATACAGCCCGTGCCCCATTCACATTGATGTCTGTTACTGGAGACTGGTAGAGAGGTAGGCAGCACTGCAGCAAAGGATACATCTATGATACCGAAGTCCTTATCCACATCTGCCTTTTAAGCAGGAGGAAGAAAGGAATATATCTCCAAGAAGCTGGTTTTCACCCTCTCACAAGAAGGCTACTGAGACCTCAGTTCCCAAAGGGAGTTACAGTCACCTAAAGCAGTGGAGTTGAAATACCCAGATCCAGAGTGGCAGAAAAAGGGTTGAAAAGAGCAAGCTCCTCCCTGAGCAGAACTTGGTGCCAATGATGAAAAAAACCCAGCAGTACCAGAGGTTGAACATCTACCTGCGTTATTAAGGGAATCCCATACCAAGTGCTCAGTTCCTGTTGCCTCAGTATCAGAGCCATCCACCACAGGTTTCCACTCGGCTTCGCCTTTGACACTGTTGGTTCCACAAGATATTAGGTAACTTAAGGATCTGATGATACCTTCTGAGACGGTGTTCTCAGATAATGAGTACTTCAGGTTTGTCAGTGTCAAGGCTTTCTCAGTCACCAACCTCTCTATCTTTTAGAGTATCACACTTTCCCTTGTCTAGTTGGCAAGCTGAACAGCTATCCTCCCCGCTTAGTGTGTGTGGAAGAGGACTCGTATTATCAAATTTTAGTGTAGGGTTCTTCTCCCTATTTTAAGACACATCACTCTCTTTTCTGTACTGATATAGTATAGGAGGATAGACCTCAAATGATACTCACGTGACAGGAATACAAATGGCTGCCTTCACTTATGCCATTTGGTCCCCCTGAGTGGTCTTGCTGGGATTGAGGGGCATTCCGTTGTCAACAATTTATATCAAGGTCCTCACAATGCCAAAACAGAAAAGCCCAGTCTCTTAAACTCTTTACCACCATCTGTAACATTAGGAAGAGATCTCTGAGGGAGATGGCACCTATTATTTACTAGTATTTCCTTATTTCCCTGTGAAGCTGCCATGCTCCACCACCTTCTTTAGCTGATGACTTCAGGCTGTTTCAGATACTTATGAAGCATATTGCTGACACGCTGCAGGTTCTCTTAAGGGAGGTTCAGGAATGCTACCATAAACATACATGTTGAAGTGTGTAAAATATCTATTAAAATTGCCATTCCAGTGAGTGAAGCACTTATGGAAACCACTAAGATTGTTTGGCAAACACCTGCTACCCTGCTGCCTACCTATGAGATTCTGAATAAAAAGTATTATATGATTCCCAGGTCAGAATACAAGACAGCATATTCTGTTTTCACTGTGGTGATTGTGAAGAGTATCTTGGCTACAGATGTTGGACTTTCTAAGAGAGGTTGAGTACCACCGAAGACCTCCCCGTAGTCAGTCTCAGACTGTTTGCAGACTTGATAGATGCATCTCTCCAGATTTTTAACAACTCAAGAGGCACACTGTGATGCCCAGGAATTTATAGATTTGTAAATAAAAGGAGATTTAGTAAGTCTGGGACTGAACAAAGGACATTACCAAGTCCTGTATTCTACATACCATAGACCAGGAATAGTCAATTATTTTTTTGTCAAGGTCCAAATTTCTTGGTAAAGATATAGTCGAAGTCCAGACCGCAGAGAAAAGTAAAGAAAAAATGTGGAGTCTATACAAAAGCATCTGGCAGTCTGGATTTGGCCTGCTTCTGCCATAGATCCTTTGAATCTCTAGCCAACACATGAAGATCAGGGCTTATGTCCACCAAGTGATAGTTTTGATGGCTTGGTTGAGTTTCTCAACCATCCAATTAACAAAAAGAATGGAGGGTGGAAGTCAATAATGGACAAATATGTAAAGCAGCAAAAATTAAGTGTGGTGATCCTGGCAACAATAATTCCTTCAATAGAAGTAGGTGATTTGTAAGTTAGGCCTATCTTCATCACTAGGGTGTTTTCAAAGATTCTGGCGGTAGTTGCGACTCACTTACATTGGGTAAATGTGTTCTTCCATCCTAAACAATTGGTTGATCAGGTGCACACCATATCAGGAAGGGTTAATGTCAGTAAAGATCGTGTGTTCCCTTTTTCACAGCAGGGGCCTTCAAATCAACCTTGAAGTCCACTTTGACTCCATTACAATGTCTAGATTTCCCTGGATGCAGCAACAGGCAGAGCTTATCTATTGTTGAGCAGATTTCTCACGCTAGTGAATCTCATCTCAAAGTTTCAGGGATTTCTCCAAGTTAACAGTAAGAGATTATTTTCAACTGCGGGGACAAATCAACAGGGGTGGCTTCAGTTTACAAAGTAAGCAAACAAGACTAAAGAGGCTACTGTCTGTTCTCCATTAGATACCGCAATCACTCCGCTGGTATAAAGACAGACCAAACCTTAATAAGTGTTCTGCACTTGCAGATTCCTACTGGAATGATAACATCAGATACTTCACTTTTGGGTTGGGCGGGCATATGGGACCTCAGGGCTATTATAAGAGCAGCTTCTCCGCATTAATCTTTTGGAATTGAGTACCATCAAAAATTCTTTCTTCCCCATACGCCACTACAGCTATGCATTCATGTATTATTATATCATTAGGCAAGAAGGTGCACTTCTCCCAACTCTCTGTGTGAAGCAGTAGAACTCTTGGAATTGCTTCATTGCCAAAAACAGTTTCTCAGCTATTTTCTTCACACAATATTCTTATTCTTTGGGTTCCCAGAGGTCAATTTGATTGCCAGAGCAGCCAATGCAAAATGCATCAGGTATTGCTCCATAAAAGGGATTCAGTCCTCAATGCATGGGAAGCATGTTCCTCGTCTCATAGACAAAAGGACTTCTCCATAACCACTTGTATTGTTACTATTAAAGGTTCTCAACAAAATCATGCCATTGTGGCCAGGACAGGACTGGTCTCCCTATTTGATCAATTTTACCTCTCACTCTTTGTAGAGGCTACCAGTCAGTCCTTATTTACTGATGCACAGTGCCTGTCAATCCATTCATCTTAACCAGCAGATTCTGAGACTACAAGCGTGCTTCCTCAGTGGTTTCAGTAATAGCAATACCTTGTTTGCCAGAGGTACCAATACCTTTTATTAAATATTAGAAAAGAATTTGCAAGAAATACTTCTAGAAAAGGAAATGTACTATTTTTGGTGTAACCAATCAGATGTTAACTCACTCCCTTCTTCACATGGTATTGGATTACCCTAATGGAACTGAAAACAAATTGATCTTTCTTTAAATTCCATAATAGATTTTCACACACCCATTTAGGGCTTTTCACTCAGATGTTTATCGCCTATCTCCCCATAAAACAGATCCTAGCTGGGACATGAACCTAGTGCTTACTTGCCTTATATAACACCCTTTTGATCCACTAGCTACATCTCTTTAGTAGATTTATCAAAGAAGAAATCTTCCTGAAAGCAGTGATTTCTGCCTGAAGTGTAAGAGAATTGTGGACCTTAATGGCAGACACAAAATTTACAGTATTCACCTGAGAGAAGGTGTAAATAAAGGCACTTACGATTTTTTTTTTTACCTTAAAGACACCTCATAATTGTATATTAAATCAAACCATTAATCTCTCTATGCTTTCCCCAAAGTCACACTGGACTACTTAGGAAACAATATTCAGTTCAGTAGGTGTTACTACATTGTTACGAGCAAACCATTTAGAAGATCCCTTAAACTGATTATTTCTGTTTCTGACAAAGAGAAGGATTTACTAACTTGTAAAATAGGTTATCAAAATAGATCTCCAGTTGTATTAAGATTTATTGTGATAATTCATGTTTAGTCCTCTTTATGAGTAGTAGCACATTCTACAAGAGTAGTACTATACTACATTTATAGCCTTACTCAAGGATGTACCAATTGCAGACATCTGTAGCATGTCAAGTTGGGCATCTGATCCTATTTTGTCTAATTATGCTTTTGGTATGTGCAGCAAGATCAGCTGTTGCTTGTAGGCAATGCAGTTGTTTTGTATTGGACTCTGCTCCAAACCTGCCACCTTCTTAATGGGGAATTACTCTGAGATCATTATAGATAACATTTTTGGAAGTGCTTATAGTGACATTTTCACATCTTGTACAACAATTGTAGTTTGAGATGTCCCTATTACCCACTCTCCTTCCCCTCTGTTTCGGAGTCTCCCTTGTGGGTCTTTGCAGTGGAAAAGGAATTTAGAGCAGCATACTACTGCAGGGCATAATCTTGGCACCGGGCAGGCGGCTACGTGGGGTGCACATGCAGGGTGAATGGGCACCGCTACCAGAAATCTCTGTTGAAAAGCTCAGGGCACAAGTATGCCTAAAGTGGAACACAAGAAGGAGGTATATCTCTAAAAACTCCCAAGTTACTGCTCAAAATGAATAACAACTTTGAAGTATAACCCCTTCGGTGTGGCAAAGGCAGGTGTAAACAGTATAATTTAATTGAAGTACAGGCAGTCCCCGAGTTACGCGGATCCGACTTATGTCGGATCCGCACTTACGAACGGGGCTTTTTCGCCCTGGAGCTCGCAGGCAGCGGGACCGCCCAGAGCGCAGCGGTCCCGCCACCTCGACCTCCGGGGCGAGAAAAGCTGCTCCGGTTGCACCTGGCCTGCTGGGGACCGTCTCCAGCAGACCAGGGACACCCGGAGCAAAGCCGGGGAGGCGGAGGGGTCCCGCGCCTCTGAGGCTTTGCTGTGGCAAAGCCGGGGAGGCACGGGACCCTGCTGCTGCTGCGGCTTTTGCTTTCCCCCTCACAGCAGACCAGGCTTTTGTTGTGGACCCTGGGGTAGAGCAGCTGGGGTGCTGCCGGGTTGGTCCTGCAGGGACCTACCTGGCAGCCCAGCTGTTCTGTCCCAGGCTGGAGATTCAGCCGCTGTTGAAACTGATCAGTGGCTGATTCCAGGAAGCTGGGGGCAGAGCAATTCTGCCTCCAGCTTCCTGTAGTCAGCCCCTGGTTAGTTTCAGCAGCAGCGGCTGAATCTGGAGCCAGTTCCAACTTACATACAAATTCAACTTAAGAACAAACCTATAGTCCCTATCTTGTACGTAACCCGGGGACTGCCTGTACTAATACGTGAGCATTTTAGATTGAGAACTTCTCATATTTTGAAAGTAAAATTGTGTTGACTCCTATATTCATTACCAAATAATGCTTAAATAATTCTGTACCTCGTGCTTGAAATATTTCAGTCTGTGTAATAGGCTTACATATTTAGGCCTGGTAAGTTGATGTTGGATGAAGGATGATTTTGTGTTTAATGGCATCAAACTGGCAGTCAAAAGACTTCTGTTCCCAGCTCTGCCACATACTTACTGTGTCATCTTGTGCAAATCAGACCTCTTGCTTCAGCTTTTGCCAGTATGATAAAATATCATACTGCTGTGTTTGAGGCTTTTTTTCATAAACTGATTCCTTTTAAGATGAGAATGGGCCATTATGGTTTTAAAATTTCATCAGTTCCTGCATGAGACCTAGAAATTTGTGCTTGAACTAGAGTGTATTTTTTAGGAAGTCATCAAACATTCTTAATTCAGTTCTGTAAAATGCATTAAGATGCAAAATATTAATATTACTACTTTACTATTATTATCTGACCTTAAAAATCTCTTTATTCCTATCATTGTGCTTTTCCATCCTCAATTATGACTTGATAATTGTGTTTGCCTCAAACTTAAGAAATAGATTTTTAAAAATGGATTTCAGAAGTTATTCCTAATTTATAGTTAAATTGATTAACAATTTATACCTATTAAAATATTTTAAAAATAGTTTGAACATTGATTTCTGGTTCTAGATGTAGTGGAATTTCTGCCAGAATTGATATCCGGGGGAGGGGGGTGGGAGGGGAATGCATGATGATAAACAGTCATGATGTTGCTCTCATAGCTCACAATTTGCCAATCTGTAAATAAAGCACAATATAAACCTGAGCACCAACCTCTTCTTTCTGATGTTACCTTGGACATTCAATTCTAGCCATAATATTTCACAAAATATCCATACTTCCTCACTTTTTCCTTTTAGTAGTGCTGTTTAGATGATGGTCCAAGGCTGAACATCATTTGTTCCAGAATTTATACTAGTGCATTTTTTATCCCCTGGGAAGTCCAAACACAAACATGTATATGCCTCCATCCCAATGCCTTCCCAACAAAATGTGTATTTTGACCGTTTCTTTGAAATATATATTTAATTTTTTTCTGTTTGTTCTTGGAGTTTTGTTTTGTAAGCTGTTGGGTAAATCACATCTAGATGGACCTATAAGATACAAAAACATTTGTGGCATATGCTGCCATTTTTTTAAAGACGCTTGTGTATTTTTTGTGGCTGTCTTGAAATATTGGCTTAGTTCCTTGTTTTAGACCAAATTTACAATTTTGTCCTTACAAGTTGCATTTTGGATTATAGCAGAAGATTTAAATAGTTATTGTGTGCTCATCTCATGATAAATAAATGAATTCTTATGAAAAGACACAGACTGCATATGCTAGTGAAGCAGTGATAGGAATAAAGGACTTCACTGCAATGGAAATACTTCTTTCAAAATATAGGTCAACTGAGATTTAAAATTTGGTTTATTTTTTTCACCCATCTTCGTTGGCATAAATCATTATATGCCTGCTGCTATAAGTGTGTTCCCTAACTATTTTCCTTTTCATGAAAGTGTGTGTGTATTTTCAATATCTCTAAAGCTATTACAAATTTTAAATTACGGATTTAAGAGATGGAGGTTCTTTGAATAAAACTTTTTGAATTTGTTGAATGTTACAAAGACATGCAACACAGCACTTCTTTGCCCTTCACCCAGAACATTCATGTCATGGTTTAAGAAGTTGTAGTCCCACAAAGATTTTTCAAATCTGCTGACATTATTTTGGAAGAGGATGTTAGGACATGGTGTCTGCTTCAAAATGACAGGTAAGAAAAAACACACAGGAGGGAGTGGGGGAACATTGAATGTGTTTGTATAAAGCAGCAATATGAAAATATTCTGAAAATTATTTTAATACTTTCACATTAAAATGTCCCTAAATAACTTAAATATTTCTTACTTATATACAAATGTCTCAATTTGTGATATACAGATAAACTCAGATTATCTGTAATCCAGGTTATCCCATCAACTGAAATTTTGTTTCCCCAAATTTTATAGTTTTCTGAAATTCAAATAAGTCCTCTTAGCCATTCAGACATCCAGGGTTCAGTTACACTTAAATACTTTTTGCATGCTGGAAACGTGGTGATAGTTTTGTTTACATAGTGTTGTTAAAGTGTAAATATAAGCTAATGTTCTCCTAGTCTTTGTCTACATACAAATCTTGCATCAGTTTAACGAAAATCAGTTTTAAAATTAATGCAAATAGGTACACAAATTCTCATAGAATTACCTCAGTCTCTTTACCAACTACCTTATATCAATATTGTTTCACTTGGTAAGGGATTGTTTAAAATTATAATGTAGAAATCAGTTTTAGGTCAGCTTTGCTGTTTGTAGAGTACTGACTGAGCAGAGAGTGAAGTCCTGGTCATGACTCGGACACCTAGATACTACAAAAATACAAATAATTAATAATTTAAGTATGTTCATGTTTGTGCTAATTTAATTAAATCTATTTGAAAGCAGACTTTAGGTCAATCAGTGCAAATTCTTCTGTTTGTAGATTACACTTTAGTCTAGGTTTCTGTAACTGAGAAAAACTTATCCTAAAATGTACTGATTTATGTTTCATGTGAATCTAGTTAAGTCACATCTATAACTCAGAGTGTTTTCAGGTGAGAGATTTGCAGGGAGAACGTTGCATATTCTCAAACTCCCTCTTTGAGCAACTTTGTATTTCGTAGCTGACTGGTAATATTGTAAAATATAGTGTGTGTGTGTGTGTGTGTGTGTGTGTGTGTGTGTGTGTGTGTGTGCGCGCGTGCAGTTAGCAGTTAAGTGCAAAACTGGTAGGTTACACTCAGTGATTAATACCAATCTGAATGGGGACAATCTTATTCAAGATACCATTATCACAGATTAATAGCATGAAAATCATATCAAATGCTTTTAAAAAATTCTCTTGAAAGTTCCCTAGTACATAAGTAAAGTGTATAAAGAACTGTTATTGTTAGTTCACACTTCTGTTTTCTAATAATTCCAACATATATTTCTAATGAATGCTTAAAAAAATCACGTGGTGATACATCAAAGTATTCCACAGAACATTTTTTAAAGCAACAGTCTGACTCAAATTTTATTTACTCAGTAGAATAAACCAACAATTCAGATTAATTTCTGCCAATCTTGAGATTTAGTAGACCCAGATCCAAAATTTACCCTTTCAGACCACTTGTTTCATATACATTTATTTAAAATATATCTTTGTTATATTTATAGACAGCTTAAAATTCATAAAGCTTTCTGTAAATATTATGTCGTGCCATATCTTCATTACACATCACATGGCAAATGGAAATCTTTGTGATGCAAACTTAATTCTTTGCTTTTTCCACTAATCTGTTAGTCAATTTTTTTTAATAGTTTATTTTTGCTGATCAGATCCAAAGCCCATTGCATACAATAGGAGACTTTCCATTGACTTCAGTGGGCTTTAGATCAGGCTCTAAAGGTAAATAGAGTAGTTTTTGCTGATATTTGTAAGATACATGGTCTGATATCTAGAAACACATTGATTCCAAGTAATCAAATTGTAGGACTTTTCAAACAATATTTTTAATGTCCAAAAATGTACAGGTTTCTGAAAATTCATTTCTGACTTTAAATCTGCATTAAGTTGAATTATGATGCATAAAGCTTTGCAGCTGCTGTGTTTCAGGTTTCATAAATATTTTCAAATGTAAGTACAACTATCCTTAAGAAAGTAATTGCTTTAAATCCTGGCATGTCTAAAATATGAATTAATAAAAGGCTAAATATAGTGAATGAAATCTTTCCCTTGAACACAGTCTTTTATTCTTCACTGACATTTGCTTTAACATTATTAAATCTCCTCCCATTTCTTCATTCCTTTAAAGAGTGATAATTTTGCAGCTACTGCCTAATTTGTGAACTGAAAACTATAAAATAGATGGAAAATGCCTTTTCAACTTGTGAGCTCTTTTCTGACAATAAAACTGCCTTATAACCATTTTAATTTTGGATTTTACTGTGCAATAAAGTTTTAATTATTTTTGTAAATACCCCGCCTTCTTTGCTGTCTGCAGTGATTATATTTGTTATTCTTAGGGAACAAACTATGCTTGTTTTATTAACCGTAATGCACCAGTTGGTTTCAGGAGGATCTAATCATGTTTAAATTGAGCAGGATTTAGCTCTGAAAGAATAAGAAAAACTCACGTAAAAGTGATAGAAAGCTAAAGAAAGCAAAGTCATTTGTTGACATTTTTAAAAGTGTATATCATTGAATTTTTTTATTGTTACTTCAGCAACCAGCATTGTTTTCTGTTACCTTTTGCTAGGAAGTCATTGGGCAAATACGAACACAGCTGTACGGAATATCTGCCTGAAGGTTTCTTTGGGATAATATCTCTTTCCACAAAAACATAATCACAAAGGAGGATGTCTTGAGTGCATCTCAAAAATGGAATTCTTCCTTTCTGAGTGCTGGATAGTGGGTATGCTGATGAAAAAGTGATTCCTTTTCCTCTAAGTCAAAGTGCCATATGGCCCACTTCAATGGAAATCCATTTACTCTACAATTCTGTATATTTAGGTAAATGTTATGTAGACACACAGTAAAGAAGTGGGTTAGGGTGGAAGGGGTGAGATTAGATACAGAGATTACTATTAACATTCTTATTTATGTTCAAAAATATTAGGAAGGACCGTGTGCACTCAACCAAGCTAACAAAGCTATGTAAGGAATTATGTTCTGAGAGAACTAGGGCACAGTACAGATGTTAAAATAAAAATAAGACTCAAAAGGTGCTTGGTTATAAGTGATTAATGTGGTATAAAATCATAGATAGACTTCTGGGATGTATCTGGGATGTTAACTAAGATTCATACTGAAATTTATGTATTAATTTTGAAGGAAATCATATTAAGTTCTTAATTAAATTGAGAATACTAGCATTTGCAAGTTATGTGCAACTCATGCATTGAATAGTCAAAGCTTTCATTAGATTATGTGACTAGAATAACATCATACCTCCATGACTTTTAGAAGGACAAGTAGTATTTTGCGCCAGTAGATATACTTTCAAAGAGTCAAGAGTATTTAGATCTTATATTCATTCTACTCTTTATTTATAGAGCCAATATTTTTGTGCTGTCAACTTCATGAAGTATTTCACATTTAAGTATTACTACTTATTCAGTAAGTAACTGCATTCTGGCTTAAAAACAAAAACCAAACCTCTTTAGCTGAATTTACATGACTACAACTTACAGTTGCTACACCAAAAAACAGTCTTTCCTCATCTGTGTACTCCATTTAGCTGTTATAAATCTCTGGACTCAGCTGTTGCCATCAGAGTACTCCATCCAGTCCTCACTAACACAGAGTAATTCCTTTTTTAATTAAGTTCTACCTCACAGTTTGAGAGTGACAGGGAGAGGCCATATTTGAGAGGGCCATAATTTACTGTTGGGATTTGATTCTGATGACAATAGCCAGTCAGAGCACACAGGCATATAATCGTGGTTATTAAACCATAAGTTTATTATGTGAATCAGAGTGCAGGTATTGCTAGGATTGTAATAACCCTGTGTTTTCACTAGTAAGTTAATTCTATTTCAGTATTATTCATGTTTTTAAAATAAGTATGTAAATACATTTTGTATAATCAAATCAATGGCAGAGTGCACTCCATACAATATTTCTTACAAAATTGGTTATTGGTATTCAGATCACAGAAGGTCACTGATGCCGATTTGCTGCGGTTAAAAGGATGATACCTGCCTATTGAATTTGACTTTGTAGTTAATTCAGTTTTAGCTAGCCTCACTTTCAACCATTGGGAACAGTTTTAAAGTGAAGTGATCAAAATTGGCCATAATATAGTAGGTGAAGTACTATGTGGAACTTCAGATGGATACTGATGGGAGAAGGTGGATTGAGGACTCTGTCTGTTAGTGTGGTACATGAGAATGTGGAAATTGTGAATATTGGTTTCTTGTACCGGTAGTCTTGAAAACTGGGAGGGCAGTAAAATTTGCTAATGGTGTCCTTTGGGGGTTGGTTCATATTGATACAGTTCTAGAATGTTAGAGGGGGAAAGATACTTGTCTTTATATCTTAGACTTTTCACTCTTCTTCTGGCTTTCCTGTCATCTGTCTTAACCCCCACATGCTTCAGCCAGCCTTCACCACTGACCTGCATAACTGTGGGGCCCAGTTGAACCTATGCTGAGCTACTTTGCTTTTTTTTTTTTTAAATCACACACAGACCTTTTCATGTATTAGATATTGAATCACTGTACAGCAACCAGATATTTTTATCGTATGTTATTAAAAAATAAGTAAAAGAAAGCTATATGAGGGGACCTGACACAGATGTGGCTGGGCTCCAAATTCAACCTTTGAGATATGTTGTGACAAGCTGCAACTACCAGATCTCCATGGGCTACCAGTTGCCCACCTGTGCTTTAAAGTAACCATTATTGGTTATTCTCATTCACCAGGCATGCAAGATGATGTCAATGCAGTAGCTCAGTTTAATGTGTTTGGGCAGGGAGGGAGGGCAGGTTAAACCAATACCTGTATGTAAACATCTACAATAGAAGAATACATTATTTCAGCTGTGCATTTGAAAGTGACACACAAATAGCTGATTATGAGAATCCAGAATAAGTGTTCACTAATTTGGATAGAATATATATATCCTGGGTGTGATATTCTTAAAATTAGGTGTCAAGTATCAGAGGGGTAGCCGTGTTAGTCTGAATCTGCAAAAGCGACGAGGAGTCCTGTGGCACCTTATAGACTAACTGAAGTGTAGGAGCATAAGCTTTCGTGGGCAAAGACCCACTTCGTCAGATGCATAATTTTTTAAAATTAGGGAGGTTTGTGGAAAAGGACTAAGATTTGGTTAGGTGGAATGTGTGGGAGATTGGATTTGGTTGCTTCCAGCTGAAAATAGGTTTTACATACTCAACTTCCCCCTCTCATTTAATAACAGGATTGGAGGGTGAGTATTGGGCAAGTGTTGATGGTCTTTTGAAGCTTGACCAGGAAGTTATTTGGGAGCCTAATTCTTTCAGTAGCTGGCTAAGTAAGTGTATCAGTGCTTTCCTACACTGATAATCTGATAGTTGAGGGGAACTCATTGCAGGCTTTGGATTCCTTGGGCGAAGGGTTGTGGGAAGATCAGTCAGGAAAGAGGAAAAAAAGTTAAATCATAGATACTGGCTCAAATGCATGATCTGTTTGTTTTATTAGTTTTGCTAAGTACAAATACAACAACATCAGATGATCTTATAATGATTCTTGCCTTCACTTAGGATTGGTGTACAGATTTCCCTCCTGTACCCCGTTATGACTCAGCCAAATTTTAGTTCCCTCACTAAAATGGTGTGGGAAGTGAATAGTAATGAAGCTCAGAGACTTCAATACCTGTCCAAATGACAATTCATGTAGATTGTTACAGGAGTTTATTGAAACAGTTAAAGGGATTAACCCACATAGTTTTTGGCTCTATATGTATAGCTATATATCAAGTTACATTCTGGATCTAGTGTTTGGAATTGGAGGTATAAAGTTTGTTCTTTTGGGACTGCTATTTTCTCCTGTGGTTTCAGGTTGGGGTTCTCCTTTATTCCAGTACGGAATTAGATTTGATATTCGTTCAAGGAGATTGATGAAACTGGATAGGTTTCATGGGCTCTTGCGGGATGTGTTCTCTTGTCTAAAAGTACAATGTATTATATTTAAGCACACACAGACATAAGAAATAGTTCTAGAACAGCCCAAATATTTACCTGAATTCTGGGATGCTACTGAATAATTAACAGCAGATCCAAAATGGCCATTCACTTCCATCCCAGAGAGTAAAGGGTCAGAAAAATGTCTCTTCTCATAGCTCTAAAATATACCACATTCTTTTATAATGAACTTTATGGAAAACATATAGTTCTTAGTAGGGATGTTAAAGATTAGTCAGCTATCCAATAAGCATTTGCTTATCGGATAGTCTTTTGAGTAGTTGACTAGGCGATATCACCCCTCCCCCCCTTTGCTGCCTCTATAAAATAGAGGCAGCAAAGGGAGGGGAAGAGGTACTTCGAAGTGGCAGCACTGCACAGCGGTGCTGCCACTTTGAAACCCCAAGGCTGCCGCTACAAAGCTGATACACGGATCAGGTGTGCGATGGGCTGCCCCTTTAAAACACCACCTCTGTGCAATTCAAAGGGGCAGCTGTGGAGCCCAGGGTCAGCTGTGGAGTCCCCAACTGATCCCCGGATCTTCATGGCACTTCCGGGGATCAGCTGTGCAGTGGACTGCCCCTTTAAAATGCCGAATCTGCACATTTCAAAGGTAGCTGCTGTGGAGCCCAGGGTCAGTCCTAGTGGCATGCAAAGTAGCATGGAGCCCGGAGTCAGCGGGGGACTCTGATTCCCCACTGACCCCCAGGCTCCATGGCTTTGAAATTAACAAAAGCCCCGGGACTGTACGGAGAGAACTTCCTGCTGGCCCCAGGCTGTACGCAGAGGAATGTGGGAGTGCCTGTTGACTAGTCAATTAACTGCATTTTAACAACCTTAGTTCTTAGTGACCTTTACTGGGTCATCACTTTTCAGAAACTACTTCTCCACAAACATTTCTAATAATCTTTGTCATAGTAAACCTTCTATATTGAACAGGTGTATAAAATCCTGTTTAATTGGCTAACCTATTGAATGTACTGGTTAACTGATTAAAGGGGTATCAGCAGGGAGGCCCCCACCTGCTGCTGCATTGGAACATCCTCCGCCCCTTGCAGGTAGGGACTGCTGAAGGCAGGGGCTACGCCAGCCACACCAGAGCAGCCCCTGCCTGCGAGAATTTAGGCCTGAAACAAGCAGGGGGTTGCACTGGAGCAGCCTCTGTCCACATTGGGCACCGTCCCCACTGGTTAACCTTAACTGGTAAGCATCACCCATTAAGGATGGGGCATACCAGTTAACTGGTTAAAGCTTCACATCCCTAATATTGAAGGCGCCCAATTCAAGGTTTTCATACACTTTCTTTTTTCAATATGTTACTGACTTTTTTTTCTCTGCCCCTTTTGATTAGCAGAAACTGCCAGCAGTTTTGACCTTGCCTTCAAAAGCCTTCTTATTCCAATTAGCCATAAACTAGCTGAGTTGAATTTTATTAATTTATTGTGGATGAATGCACATGATATGGTTGCAATTAACTTAATTATATTCTGGGGTACACACACCTGTTAAATCCTGGGCAATATCACGAAGTCTCTCTCAGCCAAATTCAATGGCAGCAATGGTTAGTTTTGGTAAATGTAAGCTCTCTTCATCCTGGATGAGTTGAGTTTTTCTTACTAAGGATTTTTCCGGTTACACTGGAGATAAAAAAACCAACAACCCTGGTCTTTAACATGGAGCTTGCTGTTTCTGAGGGTGCAGATAAGTGTCTTAGTATTCAAAAGCCAAGTTGCTGCTGATTGATGTATTGATTGAATGTTGACCATGTTACTCACTAAATACCTATAAATGTTGGGACACCTGCTACGTAGAAAACAAATTTTGACACTGATAATCTCTTGTAGAGTACTGTTGTAAGAAAGTCCTCGATTACTCTACTTGCATTCCCCCGTGCCCAGGACCCAGGACGAGCCAGCTGTTCTGGGGGTGGCTAGTGTGCAGCCCCTGCCAGGTGGCAGCCCTTGCCCCAAAATGGCTTTGGCTTCGCTCTGAGGGGCTAATGGTGCAAATAGACAGGTCAAGCGCTCCGCTGCCAACCCAGCACTGCCTTCCCGAAGCCCGGCCAGCCTACCCGGGGTTGCCGTGGCCCTTCGACTTCCTCTCCTGGCTCTAGGATGGCGTGGCAGGTAGTCACTTGTCAAGATTTCCCCAATCAGCCAGAGACTGGTCGAAGAGTGGTGGTTAAATGATATGCATAGGGAAGCTGTCCCCCAAATGAAACTCATCCGCGGGCTACCCCTTCGTGGGCTTGCCCAGTGCTTTTCACTGCCCTTGGGCTGGCTATGGACAGGGGCAGCTGGACCCAGCACAAGCCGGGGTGTGGGGTCCAGGAGCTACCCCACTGCAGCTCTGCAGTTTAAATGTTGTAAGAGCTGGGCTGCCTGTGCGCCCAGCTCTTACTATATTTAAACTGCAGAGCCGCAGCAGGGGGTAGCTCCCAGAGGCTTCCAACCCATCAACTAATCGTGTAGTCGATAGAAATTCTATCAACTACACAATTGGCTGATTACTCATTTCTTAACATTGCTAGTTGAATCTCCCATGTATGGAAAAGTTTACAGAAGATGGCAGTGAATTAGAATGGAAATATTTCCAGTATTCATATATCCTTTATTCTGGTCAGTCTGTATTTAGACCTGGATGAGGGATAGAAACTGTGCTAGAGGTGTTAATTGATGTTCTTGTGTGTAGGTGTTGAAGATCTGCTCAAGCTAATTGTATTAGTCTGCTTTTCATAAGCTTGATCATGAGGAAATGCTGCTAGAGGGGTCCTTAGTAGTATGAGGTCTTTTTAAGTTTTCGTAAGACTATATGGGCTGTAGTGTATGCAATAGAGGATACCCAGTGGAATATAATTTACAGCCGGTCCCCGAGTTATGAACGCGTTATGGATCAAACGCTTGTCCATAACTCGGAATGGTCATAACTCGGAACCCATTGAGTTACATTGCGACCGCGCTGTTCGTAAGTGCAGGTCGCGTTCATAACTCGGAGCCCGCATTTACGACTGCTTTGGTTGTAAGTGCGGAAGGTCATAAGTCGAGGTGGCCATAAGTTGGAGACCAGCTATAGTTTATAGCTAGTCTTGCTGGTGTAGTGGTATGGGTGGAAAGATGTCTATGGAGAGTGGTAAAGGAAAATACATATTTTAAAAGAACTTTAAACCACAAAACAAATGTCTTAAACTATTTATCTTTACAGTTTAATATAAAATATCTGCTACATAGATTACATTTATCATATTTAAATATATTAAGATATGATTCTCTTCTGAAGTGCCGATAAAATATGGTGATTCCTTTTACCAGAGATTTGCTCCCTGTTTGTAATTCAGAGATATCTGCTGATTTTAGATAGTGTTTACTGCATTGTATTGTCTGCTAGCTATATTGGCTTTGCATAGTAAGAGGAGAGGGAGCGGAAATCTATTCCTGCTTGCACATCAGCAGCAGAATTATGTACAACACTGTGACACGGTTGTACAATTCCAATGAAGGTAGCACTGGGGTTCTACAGATATTACTGAGGACCTTATTTTGCAGAATTGTTGGGCCTTTCTACATTATAGGGTTAAGTCAACCTAATCTATGTAATTCCAGTTACATGAATAATGTAGCTGGAGTTGGCATATTTTAGGTTGTATTATTGTGCTGTCTACACCATGCTGGATTGACAGGAGAAACACTCCTGACGACTTACCTCATGCCTCTCAATACAGAGTTGACAGGACAATGATCAGTTGCTGCAGAAATCAGTTCATCTGGTAGTGAAAAGCCCTTTTACTAGAGATAACATGAGAAGAAAAGAATCAAGCTTGATTCTCAAATCTTCCACTGTACTTGAATGAGCAAATATGTCATACACATTTGAGCTTAAATGTTCAGAGCAATATAATGACAAAGGAACTCATTATGACTGAAACACCAATTGACTGGTATAAGAACAGATTTGAAAGATCTTAATAATTAAGAGTAGGGTTATACTGCAAACAATGGTAATGTAAGAATGGTTAGAGAAGAAAATGAATTTGTCAGAAGATTATTTCAGTTGGTCTCAAGTTGTCAGACAACAATTCTGTTTTTCAGAAGTTCATATTACAGAGTTGTATTTTGCTTAAAATGCCCCAGTTATTTATTTGACTATAACTACATATTATTTTTTTCTAGGTTAAAATTAAAATGCTAAAATGCAGATGAAGATTGGTTTAAAAACAAGTGCTGCTCTTTCTTAGGAGTACAGACGGTCAAGGTCATGAAGCAATTTTTTAAACTTTCAGGTATGTATTTGCACATAAGCTTTTTTATTTAGTAATTCCTGATGATTGAGACACATGTTTTTTTTGTATTCACATTTATAATTTGATAAAGGAATTTGTTCATATGCGCCCACCAGTACCCTTGTATCTTATCTTTAGGTTATAATTACTATATCCTTTTACCATTTCTATCAAACATTTTATTAAACTTGAGAGTTGTAGAATTTGTGTTTCCCTCTGCTTCCTCTGTGAGGAGAGGGCTTGAGTAACAGTATGTTAATCTAATACATGTACAGCGCATATGAAAGGCTAGTGTTGTGGAAAGCGCAATGGATAAATACATGTTATGACACCAAGTTCTCCCACTTGGTCTAAAAGGGCGGCTTTGTTTATATTACAAGTTGTGCCAATTTAACTAAAGGTATGCTTTTAAAATTGATTTAAACTCCTACGTGGACATCTCATCGGTTCATTAAACTAAATCAGTACAAGGCAGGTATAGATCATACAGGTTTGCACTGCTTTATCTATATTGATTTAAAAAAAACAGATTTTCAGGTAAACTGTTGCAACTTGTGATATAAACAAGGCCTAAATAGATTATACTGGGCAAAATTTTCATAAAAAGTGTGTCTAATCTATGAAGACACTCAGCAAACAAATGTTTGATTTATTATAAGAAGCACACAGGATCTTTTTCAGGGGAAAAGGCAATATGTCATGTTTATTGAGAATACAGTAGAAAAGCAGTTACCACATGCTTCATAAAGACAAGCCTACACATACATACAGACACACACACATCCTAGAGATGGTGAGTGAGGAGTCAGGGTTCCTCTAAGATGGCAAGAGCTTCCCTTCTTATACAAGAAAGTTCCCATTAGGGTGTGTATGTATTGCAGTGTCATGCTGCAATCTTCCTTAAAAGATGTTAATCTCAGGTTTTTCAGTTATTCTTTGATGGTTATTGTTAAGCTTCTTATATTTTGTTTGTGGTCTAACCTTCAGGAGTGTCTGCTGTTTCCAGGGCTGAGCTATTCTGCTAATTTCTTTAGCCTTCATCCAGTCTCGGGCACCCTGCATGTTCTCTCATCATCTCCAAGTGTCTCAAGTCTTCTTGACCATCTGGACCTCCCTGATGACTTTCTTACACATTCTTCTTTCAGGCTACGTCTAGACTGCAATCTTCTTTCGGAAGAAGCTTTCCTAGATGAGCTCTTCCGGAAAAACTTTTTTCAAAAGAGAGCGTCTACACAGTAAAAGCGTAACTTAAAAACCATGTGTTTTTCAATTGTGATTGCCAGGCCTTGACAAACCGCGGCGAGAGCTACTCGCCAGCCCCACACCGTGCATTCGCCAGATTGTGACTGCGCATGTGCGCAGCGCCCGTGAATGGGGTGCATGGAGCGACCGGCTGAAATCTACTCACCATGGGCGAGTAGAATCAGCGGTTTGTTGAGCCCTAGTGATTACTGTGGACAGAGTGGCCACCAGGGCAACTGCATTTTCCTGGAGGCCTCTGTTTTTAAAAAAAAAAAAAAATTCTCTTCCATGTCCACACATGCCTTTTTCCGAAAAAGCTTTTTTGGAAAAAGGCTTCTTCCTCATAGAAAGAGATTTATTGCTGTCGGGGGAAAAAAAACTTTGTTCTTTCGACTTTCTGTTGAAAGAATGCAATAGCAGTGTAGACATAAGTGTAGTTTTTCTGGGAACGCGGCTGTTTTTCTGGAAAAACTCTGCGGTGTAGACATACCATCACACCAAATAATGTACAGAGTTCTTCAGATAAAGGATTACATAGTTACTAAAAGACTCAACTTAGTTTGCAGTGCAGACATTGTCTAATCACGGGAAGCAAGGTGAAATAGAAGCATACAGAACTTACAAGCAAATCAGTATACATCAAATCATTGTGTCATACGTATATTTTTATAACCAATACTAAAATATTACATTTTGGCTGCAGATTCATATATAGGTTTGAAGAAATGTTTGGCATTTTATCTGTTATTGCATCTCCCATAAAAAACGAACGGAATACTACAGGTTTTTACAAAAAAACTACATTATGGAGATGAGGTTAATTGTTATTGTTTGGTATTTGTTACTTAATATTAAGCAAGATTTGCAAAGGTTGAAATGATCAATCTGAAAGAGTTCAGTTAGATAATTATTGCCCTCTACTTTTATACTCTAGCTGTCATTGTGGAGTCAGAAGAACCTCCTAGTAGTTTTGCCATCATCAGTAAGTAGATAAGGAGAAGAGAATTCATAATAGCCCAGTGTAAGATCAGTATGGGGTGCATCGGAATACATAAGTTTAAAAGGTGAGACTGATTAAGGACTTTAAAACCAGTATATTAAGGCTGTGTACAAAAGGAAAGAAACAGTAAAATGGGGAAATTGAATCGGCAGGGAATGGATCTCTAACAGGTTGTTTCCATTTTTAACAGCTGTTTCTGTTGGAATGAGGTTTGTAAAGGAAGAGAAAGCTGAAGGGAGATGTCAAGAAGAAAAAAGGGACAAAAGAAAAATTCTAGGGCGAGGGATAGGTAGGATGGGTTTGATTTAAATCTGTAGTCAGGAAGATCCGATTTAATCATGGTTTTTTACATAAGTGCATTTTTGTTGGTTGTTACAACCTTAATACATGTTCTTCATAACTCAGAGATGTAGGTTTTGTTTTTAGAAGATACACATTATATATTTTTAAACAGTGATTTATTTTGAAAACTTTTCAAATTAGTTTTATAGCTAATCAGAAAATGAATGATTGTTTATTTCATTTACCAAAGATAATTGAAGCAGATAGTTCATCTCCAATTTAACAGGTTAGTCATTAATATTTGGAGGATTTTCTTGCCCTGCTGTATTAGGAGGAGAACATAACCAGACAGACATTTAAATTGTTTTATTTAAAACTAGAGGGCTGAGCACCCTGCTCGCCAACCCTCCTCTCACTGGTTACTTTCACAGACAGAGAGCCTGTTAAACTTTCACTGAGCCCAGCTGCACTGTCCATGGCCCCAAGTCACTCTCACCCTTCTCCGCTCCTGCCCCACCACATCCCTGAATAGCCCCCCTCTATCCGAATGCTCTCGGACCATCGCATCCTTCAATTGCCATCCAGTCCTTCCCTTACCCATCCTGCTCCTGCCCCACCCACCAGTAAAATAAGTTGTGTGCAGAGTTTGGAGCCTCTCCTGGTAGCTAGCACGGGGCTCCTGCTCCTGCCCCACCCACCAGTAAAATAAGTTGTGTGCAGAGTTTGGAGCCTCTCCTGGTAGCTAGCACGGGGCTGCAGAGTTTGGAGCCTCTCCTGGTAGCTAGCATCGGGCTACAGAGAAGTGACCTGCCAGGAAGAGGATATGCTCTGTGGGCTTATGAGCCTCACATGTAAACAAAAAATGAACAGTATCAGTAAACCAGGGCCCAGCTCCAAATGAATCCCCTTGATTCTAGGTGCTTATGGGTACCTGGCTTGCTAGCAAGGGGCAGGGGTTGAGTTACATGCGAGTGGCCAGGTAGGGAGAGAATTCACTTCTCTCTGTGCCCAGTTACTGCCCATTTTCCAGGACTGCAGTGCTCCAGATGTGCCCTTCCAGCAGACAGCCAAGCTCTGCTGTGGGACTGGGACATGCTCTGTGCAGACAGGGCACAATGGAGAGACATGGAATCATGGGGCAGTCCCCAGCTTTACACGCCTATGCCCTGCTAAGAACCAGATTTGGGTCACGTAGGAAGAGAGCCTGGAAGGGTAATCTGGGCTACTAGTCCTTATCTTGGAGTTCCATGGCCCATAGCCCACCTACCTCCATCCTCCATTCCTACACCCACCATCCTCCCTAACCCCTCCTCCTCACCCCACACTGTTCATCCCCTTCTTCCATGTCTACCTCCATCTCCATTTTTACACCTAACCATCCTTCCCTAACTCCTGCCCATCCCGCCCCACACTGCCTATCCCTTCCTCCACTTCCTTCCTCCTTTCCTATACCCCCATCCTTCCCTAACCTGCCTGAGCTGAGTAGGTAGGATCCTTGGGAGGTGGAATCTGCCCAGGCCAGGTTGCCAGGTAGCTTTGCCAGTCTTTGGGCAGGGAATCTGTGTGAGGAAAGCCAACAGCATAAGAAAGATGTGGGCAGGGAGCAGGAACAGGAGGCCACCCATGTGGGGCCAAGCTGTCTGTTGGGCAGTGTGAACAAACAAGAGCTTTTTGATGCTGCTGATGTGATGAGGTCATTTTGTCATTAAGCAGGAAAAACTTTTTTTCTTTATATGACGAGAGAGAGAGAGAACAACATTATGTATTCTGGATTGTTTTCTTCAACAGCAAACATAATATTTTAACAAAACAAGCATATGCATTTTTAACTTAAATATTCAGGATTTTTAGAATCAGGTTTGTTTTTGTTGAAATTGTTTTTAACTAAAATACTTAAATAAAATATTAAAATTAAATCGACCATGTCTATCAGGTCAACATGAGAAACTGAAAATATTGGCTTTTACTGCTAACTCGGTCGTCTTCACCTTAATTTTCGTGTTCATAATCTGAAAAAGAGAAACAAGCTTTTTTCTGCTTCTTCGGGTCCCAAATGATTTCTCAATTTGAAATGAATTAGTCCAAAGGAAGAAAATATTTTCTCTACACCGGTAAAAGAAACTACTGCTGCTAAGAGTGAAATTATCATTTCAACAGTCTCTGAATCCCAAGTGCTTAAGTGACTTCCACCAGTTTACTAGTGTGACTTTTTCTAAAACTTCGTCAGCAAACACATATTTCTTGAATGGTTCACCCTTAGCTCTGAAGTTTATTATAGCTGTCATTATGTAGGGATGATTGCTCGATGCCCATGTCATAGCCAACTTCGCTTATTCAGCAGTTAAGGTTTGACCCTGGTACCAGCCAGTTTTACTGTTAACAAGCATATATCTATGGAGACACAAATCCACAGTTTGAGAACTGCAAAGCTAAGCATCTCTGATGGTATCTTCTAGACTGAGCACTGATTCCCATTGGGAAGATAGAAAGATTAACCTAAATAATCTGTATGGAAGGGAAAACACCCTTCTCTGACTTCCTACTGGAGCTGTTGAGGCAAAACTGTACTTGACCTAGGGATAGAATGGGCGTGCTATGCTAGTGTATCTCAAAACTGAAGTCGAAGGACCATGCGGTGATGAGAAGGGAATTAGCTTCTATATCTGCTAAAGTCCTGGTCCCTCTGAGACTGATGATTGAGTCTGGCCGTACTAAGTGCCTTTTATGATTTGGCTGTCTTTGTTCATGCAGTTAGATGGGAGACCCATAACCCTTCTAGTTGTCTTTGCATTAATTTTGTGTGCAGTACAGTAGAGTCTCGATTATCTGACCTAAATGGAACCGGAGGATGGTCAGATAGTGGAAATGTCGGATGATACGGAATACTAATTGAAAACATGGGTACAAATATGTATAAACTCAATTTATTACTAATTCTAATGAAAAATAAAATAGAATATTTCAACAAACAAAAATAGAATTTTCAACACTTGTGAATATAAAAAAGTTTAGTTTTTAAAGAAATGAGTGATCAGGAGTTGGTTTTGGGCGTCCTTAGTTTTCTTTGTGGCAGAATCTCGCCAACGTCTGAACAGCAGTAAATGTATAGCTGTTGCTTCTCTCTGTTGCTCAGTGTAAATTAGTGCTACGTCGAGAGCCTTCACTCCCTCACTGTGACTCAATCTATCCACTTTCTCTAGTTCCATACTATCGTCTTCCATATCATCATCATCATCATCTCCATGATTCATAAGGTCAATTAAATCTTTATCAGTCAGCTCTTGTTGCTTATCTTTTTCCATCCATTCTTATACGTCGTCATTGCTTACATCTTCACAGCCTGGTATCTGTTTCAATAAGATTAAAAGATTTTCACAACTTTCTTGACTTGTTTCTTCGTTAGTCATCTTAATTTATTCTGTTTTTGTCGTCCGTAAGTTGCTTTTTTTATGATCTTGCTAGTGTTTTCTTTTCAATTTCTGCCTAAGCTCGTGCAACCCAATAAACAATGTCTTTTAGGTTTATTTTTTCAATTTATCTAGCATGCTATTTCCATAATCAATAGCATCTATAAGTAATTTATGAAGCCAATGTCCATTTTTTTAAGCTTCAGTAACACCCTCATCCATAGGTTGGCACGAGGTGACATTTGGTTGTAAAAAAAAAAAAAAATCACTCATGTCCCCATTCTTCAGTTCATCTGTGTTAGGATGTGATGGCGCATTATCAATAACCAAAATAGCTTTCCTTTCTAGGTTTTTAGAATTCAAGAATCTTTCTACTGAAGGAATGAATTCATTATAAAACCAACTTCGAAAAATTTTAGAGCTCATCCATGCACTCTTTTGGTTGCTATACCAAAGTGGTAGTGTTGTAGGAGCTATATTTTTGAAAGCACATGGATTTTTGGATTTTCCTGTTAAAGCAAATTTGAATTTCTGGTTACCTGAGATGTTACTGCAGGCAAGAATGGTCACTCTTTCTTTTCTTCTTTTATGGTCAGGAACTGAAGTTTCTGCACAGGAAGCCAGAGTTTTTGATGGAAGCATTTTATAATTCAGGCCCATTTTGTCACATTGTATATTTGTTCATGTGATAACCCTTCATTATTTACAAGAGACAGAAAATGTTCTCTAAATTAATAACTGATCTGAAACTGCTGATAATTTTTCTCTGTAGGTGTTGAGCTGCCTGTCTTACTTCAGAGGCTGGGCCAACCAGACTCTGCTCTCAGGTTCGGAGGGTAACCAAGAAGATACAAATTGCTTAATGTGAATAAATGCAAGGTTTATTAGATATTACAGGTGATATAAAAAGAAAAGGCAAGAGAAGGCTTACAACATCCCTTTGGCTTGCTGGGGACTCTGACTCAGCAAAGGATGGACTCCTGGGTCAGGTCCGAAAGGCACCTCTGTACAGTTCCAGGTCCTTCAGGAAGTCCAAAAGGCATTGGCAGCAGTAAACGATATATATAGCCTGTACACAAAATTCTAAAAGCGGCAACTAACTACATGCAGAAGAAAAAAAAAAACCCAAAACCAAACACCTACCGGTGTGAGAAGATTCCAACACACAGGCTTGTTTACCTCAGAGCTTCTCTCAACTGTGCAGTGAACTCAACCATGCTGGGCACAGCCTCTCTCTAACAAGCTAGGTAGCTGGGAATTTTCCTTGCTAACAGCAGGCCAAAGCCTGTTTTCTAGTTTGCGGACATGAGAACTGGGAAGATTCACTAACTCCTCAAAATACAATGGTCTTCCGGTTTTCCAACCACAACACTGCCTTACTCCATAACGTTTTTTCCACCGAACTAGCCAGCCTGTACTAGCTGTGAAGTTGGCTTCTCCTTCATTAAATTCTTTGTGAAATGCCAGCGCTTTTTCTTGTAAAATAGGTTATTGGCATGCTGTTTTGTCTTTGCTATGTGAACCACAAAAATAAAGCTTCACTCGCCTTTTCATACTCACATTTTTTTCATAGTCTTTTTTTCAGACCTTCATTTGAAGCCCTATCAGAGCACCATTTTTCAATTTCATTTCTTTTTCTCTTCATCGCCAATAGTAACATGTCCCACACCATATTCTGTCGCCACTTTTTGCATAGTTTCACCTTTATGTAGTCTTTGTAAGGCTTCAAGATTTTTTCCATTGAAACAACTACTTTCTTTCTCTTTTCACTTGCCATGCTGCTAAAGAAATTTCAATCTACAGTACTTTATAAGAATACAGTACTGGTGTCATCAAACAAAAGCATGACTGCACTCATATGTGCGGTGTGGGTGCGCTGCACTGATTGTGATTGGCTATTGTACGTGCTGCATTCTTATTCTTCATGGCAGATTGCATGTCAGATAAAACAGAATGTTGGATAAGCGAAGGTCGGAAAATCGAGATTCTTCTGTTGCTGTAATCTCTGAAATTAACCCTTGTGCTTTGCTATACTGTTTGGAGTTTTTTCCTCGGCATCTTTAAGGCCCTTGGTCTGAAAACTACTCAGGGACAATACTCAAATCTAAGGACATCCTAATTTAATTTTTCAAGGTGGAATGAAATATTTTGACATTTCCTTCCCCTGCCAAAGTATGAATTAAAGGAAGACTTTGTAGAGAAAATAGTTATTTTCAAAATAAAGTGATTGACATCTGCTTCTCAATTCTCGAAGCAAAAATGATCATGCTAAAGTCCTATTCTATTTTGCTTCTGAATAGCTGCTGCATATTAAAATAGAACTGCAGTAATGGTGAAGTGAGGAAATTATAAGTTGTTTTATAAAACCAGAGAGCAACCAAATAGTGGCCATTCTCCTTGAAAGGTTTATTCATAAAATGTGTTTGTTTTGCAGGTTGGAAAAAGACAGCAAAGTTGTCCATCTTCACCCTGAGAAATACTGTGCCGAGTATTGTGCAGCAAACATGCTGATGTTTCCCTGGTCTAAAGGAGACAGCTGAAGTGTGTCTGTCACTTTCAACTTCTTCCAAAAAATACTCTTCGGGGGCGGGAAAAAAGCCAGCTATTTTCAAATAAAATGGTGCCAAATCAACAGTGACATAATTTTTTATTTATGATATAGGAAGCTGTAAGCAAGGAAAGTTTTGTTAGAACCTGTGTTCATAGTATTGATAATAGGATTTTAAAGTTTGTAGATGCTAAAATTCAGGACAGGTTAAACAAAAACACCATACTCAGATTCAAAACTTCTATTATATGACTAAACTGCATTTTCAGTGTTTGTCCAAGTCAGAGGAGAGTATGTGCAACTAGGTTCTGCATTGGTAAGATCATTGCTGTGGAACTGATGTCACACTTAGGTGGCATGTAACGCGGTAGGAGGCCACTGACCCACAGAAAAATTAGTGAGGGCCATACACGAGAAGAACACACACACACTCTCTCTCTCTCTCTCATTGATCTGCCCCTCAAGTGAGGAGAAAAACAAAGCCCTCACCGATGTGGCCTCCAATTGAGAAGAAAAAAGACACTTCTGTCACTCCCTTCAAGCTCCAGCACCACAGCGGGAGGAGGAGAGAAGATGCCAAGGCTTGGGACTGATCTTCAGGACTGGATTAATTCTTCTGGGGTCCCTAAGATCTGGGGTGGGGCCAAAAATTAGGGCTTTTGTGTGGGAGGGGCTTACTGGGGTAATGGTGCAGGGCTTGGGTGGAAGGGAGAGTACAAGAGTGGGCTGGGGAGAGGAGACCTGAGCTGGTGGTGAGGGTGTGGGATCTGGGTGGAAGGGAGGGTACAGGAGTGGGCTGCGGGTCCCAGGGAGGATGAGTGCAGGAATGGGGTGGAGGTGTGTGGGGAGGATCTACTGATATATATACTTGCATGATCTTGATGAGTGCTTGTGTGAGTTGTGCAGCAACCAGAAAATCACAGCTCTCACTCTAGGCAAGACCAAAAGTTCTTGCTTATACATTTGTATGGTGACTATATACAGAAGGACACCTGACTTGCTTTTCACAGTCTTAGATGTTTTATCTATAACATTTAGATGTAATTAAATCAAGGCAGGGATCAGAACACATAATAGAAAGGAAAACCAGTTCAAAGACTGCAAGATCCCCACTCTTGCAAAAACAGCTGATCTTTAAGTGTAGATCTCACCCATAACAAAATGAATTGTGTGATGTGATCTTTTTCCATCAACCATGTTGAATGGCTTTACTTAGTTCTGTCTTCCTTACAATTTATTTCCATGTCTGTTTTCCATTATTTTGCCCAGCTTTGATGTTAGATTAACAGTTTGTAAGATCACACTTTTTTGCTTTTCTTCAAGGTAATAGTCTCTTTTCCAAAGGCAGAAATACTTTAATTCTTGCTGGAATCTGTGCTACGTTCAACTAGGCTATGTCTACACACAGCTTTTTGCGTGAGTAATATGCAAATGAGGATAAGCATGGAATATTGCTGAGCCTAATTTGCATACCTAATGAGCCACCATTTTTTTCAGAAGAGGCTCGTGCACAAGGAGTGGCCGCACTGCCCTTCTTGCGCAAGAAAACACTCTTGCACAATGCTGTTCTTCCTGAAAAGTAATAGGTGTAATGGCATTGCGCAAGAAGGGGCAGTGTAGACACTCCTTCTTGCGCAAGAGCCTCTTCTGAAAAAAATTGTGGCTCATTAGGTATGCAAATGAGGCTCAGCAATATTCCATGCTTAGCCTCATTTGCATATTACTTATGCAAGAAGCCGAGTGCAGACATAGCCCTACTGTGACAGATTTTTAGCAAATAGTGTCTGCTGGTTAAGGGCATAAAATAGGGCATGGATTAACCCCTCAGTTCCAACTCAGAGGATGCAGCAGTAACAGAATATGGTCCAGTATAAGCTCAATATTGTACATCTATATTGAAAATATTGTAAGTTTGTATTTTGTTTTCACAGCTAGCATAATTAGTTCTCCCTCCTTGCACAGGACTATACCAAGAGTCCCAGGATGTAAGAATTATCTTGTGTCCCGTTTCTTCTTGGTGACAAACATCAGTAAAGGCCTTTAGTCAGCATTGACACTAAGTGTAGTAGACACTTCTAAGGCCCAACAGAAAGTTGTGGATCTTGAAACTGTGGCCAGCCTGTTGTTGTTAGCCTGTTTCTGGTCTTTGAAGGGTTCAGAACTTTCACCTACCAGCTATCAGTACTTTACAGCCTCCTATGGAGGGGCATTAAGTTTTCACTCCCTCTTTGACTGCTTGATTTGTCTTCGAGTGCTTGCTCATGTCCATTCCAGTTAGGTATGCGCATGCTGCATGCATGGATTCTGGAGCTTTATCCCTTAGCAGTACCTGTTGGGCCAGCCAAGGAGCCCCCTGCAGTGGCATTGGTATATTGGTGCATATATACTCTTGCCAGCCCTCCACCCCCTCGGTTCCTTCTTACCACCCATGATGGTAGCAGGAGCGCTTGATTATGCAGTTAATCTATCCCTTAGCTTGTAAATACAGTTTGGCTACATCTAGACTGGCATGAATTTCTGGAAATGCTTTTAACAGAAAAGTTTTCCATTAAAGCATTTGCGGAAAAGTGCGTCTAGATTGGCATGGACGCTTTTCCGCAAAAAGTGCTTTTGCGGAAAAGCGTCCGTGCCAATCTAGACACGCTTTTCTGCAAAAAAGCCCCGCTCACCATTTTTGCGGAAAACAAATCTGAGCTGTCTACACTGGCCCTTTTGCACAAAAGGACTTTTGCCTGAACGGAAGCAGTATAGTATTTCTGCAAGAAGCACTGATTTCTTACAGTGGGAAGTCAGTGCTTTTGCAGAAACTCAAGTGGCCAATGTAGACAGCTGGCAAGTTTTTCCAGCAAAGTGGCTGATTTTCTGGAAAAACTGGCCAGACTAGATTAAGTAGATTAGTTAAGTAGTGTAAGTAGTTCAAAAGTTGACTTATCCAAGGAGTTTTCCCTTATCACTCCCCTTCTGGGGAGGGGATGCCCAGACCACATGGTTTTAAGCTGTTTGTAAAGTGCTCTAAACCCATGCTCTGCGGGGCTCCCCATAACTCCCTGCCTGAAGGTCTTAGGAGAGGGCCATCACACACAACTGTCGGATCTGCAAGAGCTTCAAACCAAGAACAAAGTGGGATTAAGATTCCTGCCCAAAGCTCATCTTAATGGATTCTGCTCTTCAACCAGCAGCACCAAAGATGGCACTGGGCATGCGCAGCAAATTGACCTTTATGAGACGGCCTTCCTTAGCACTGAGGTATACAGCACCAGCAAAGCCTTCAACATCAAGGTACTGATCATAGTCTCCAGCACCAAGCTGGAAAAGACAACATAAGGGAGATCAACATACAAAGCATGGCTATAAAGTGTGCCACGGAGATGGGCATGCGGCTACAACAGCACACCAAAAGGCTCCTGCACCACACCAGCCCCAATTGAGCTCAATGCACAGAGAGCGCCTGGCACCAGATGTAGTTATCGACTGCAGAGATGTTCAATGCAGCACATGAGCTCATAGAGCTTACTTAAGTCACTGGGACTGGTCATGACAGCATATGAAGAACACCTGGCACCTCCTTCAGCACTGGAGCCAGCTCAGGTGCCTATTCCCGTACCAATACCAACTGAGTCTAGCACAGGCACAACAACAGCATTTGTACTGGTGCCGCCCACCAGCAGCCCAACACCTCATTTTCCATCCACTAAAGGACTGCATCCCAAGCTCTAAGATAACCCTGCCCTTTGGGTGCCAGCTATCCCAGATCATTGGGTATTCAGCCTGGTGGACAGCAGATATGCTATCCCTTTTCTTTCCCATCCACCCTTCCCACCTCCAACCCCTGTTCTGCTTCAGGGACCCCTTTCTTGAGCAACTACTAGAGCAGGAGCTAACCTCACTTCTGCTCCTGGGAGTAGTCAAACCTGTCCCAAGGGAGTTCAAGGGGAAGGGTCCCCCCCCCCCACACTATTTCCTTATCCCCAAATCCCATCCACCTCCCCTTCAGAAGACTCCAACAAGCAGGATGTGGGGGTTTGGACAGCCAGCACTGGGTATACAGGCAGTCCCTGACTTACGTCGGATCCGCACTTACGAACGGGGCGCTCTCACCCTGGAGGTCGAGGTGGCAGATTGCTACCTGCGAGCTCCGGGGCGAGAGAGCCCCGTTCGTAAGCTGCTCCGGTGCCCCTGGTCTGCTGGAGACTGTCTCCAGCAGACCAGGGACACCGGGACTGAAGCGGCAGCCGCAGTGGGTCCCGCGCCTCTGAGACTTTGCCAGAGCAAAGCCTCAGAGGTGCGGCACCCCACTGCCCCTGCAGCTCTGCTCCCCGTGTCCCTGATCTGCTGGGGGGGGGGGGTGCAGCTAGTGTGACCCCCCTCCCCCCCCCCAGCAGACCAGGCTTTTGTTTTGGACCCTGGGGCAGAGGAGCTGGGGCGCTGCCAATTGGTCCTGCAGCGCGGCTCTGGGCACTACTGGACCAACCCAGCAGCACCCCAGCTGCTCTGCCCCAGGCGTCCCCAAGTCACACGCTGCTGAAACTGACCAGCACTGACTACAGGAAGCCTGAGGCAGAGTTGCTCTGCCCCGGGCTTCCTGGAATCAGCTGCTGATCAGTTTCAGCAGCAGCTGACTTGGGGACGCCTGGGGTTCTTAAGTTGATTCTGTATGTAAGTCAGAACTGGCGGTCAGTTTCAGCAGTGTCTGAATCTGGACGCCAGTTCCGACTTACATACAGATTCCACTTAAGAACAAACCTACAGTCCCTATCTTGTACGTAACCTGGGGACTGCCTGTATACGCACTGATACACCAGCACCACTCCAGGGGGCTCCCAGGCTAGCCTGACAGGTACTGCTAAGGGAAAAAGCTCTGGAATCCATGCATGCAGTGTGCACACCCCTAACTGGAATGGAGACGAGCAAGCATTTGAACAACAGTTATGAGGTAACTAACCATTTTTTCTGGAAGGGCCGTGTATGTAAATATCTATCCATGTAGCCTGGTTGATCTCAGCCTAGTTCACATAGCATTGATGAATTTACCCTATGAACCTCTGGCCTCCTGCTCCCCTTTTCTTTCTGTGATTGAGGAGGAAAGCAACCCTACCACCAGAGCTGACAGACTATGGGGTCATGCTAGCAAATGGCCCTAGGCCCACATTGCACAAAGAGCAGTACCAGGCACTACAGGAAACAGACATCTGTCTGTTTGGCACTACAGCACTGGCTATGCTAACTTAAGATAATAAATATGTAACCAAAACAAAATATCATTAATTCACTCATTTCCATTTCTCTTCCTACCCCACCAAAAGAAGAAAAAGCAACACGTCCCTGACAAATCTGTGACAACAGTAACTTGGAGAGTAGCCATTGATATTACTAGTAATATTTTAGGTTAGTTTTATGTACCTTGCACTGAAGAAAGTAATTTCTAAGTGGTGGCTATGTTATAAAAAAACAACTGCTTAAGGTAATAGTCTGTTTAAAGATCTTTTATCACAGACATAGCACTTTAATTCCTCAAACCCCCATCATAGGTTTCAATACAAAAAAGATATCACTTTATAATGCACATCTGGCACATCCATCACATTTTGTTGAAAGCACCATGCACGCCTATGGAACTGCACAAGTACTGAAAAATGACTACTGTAGCCAACTATACATAAGGGAAAAAGCCCTCTGAAATAAGGAAAATTGGGAGATTGAGGAACAGAACCCGTTCCTATTAACATAAAAGTTTTTGGCTTCTGACTGCCATCGGGGCAAGCTCTTAAACTCAGTTATTTCACAATGGCCAAGTTAAAGATGAATAGACTTCTACAGGGCAACTCGCAAAATGTGAAAACTGCATTTACATAAAAGATTCAGAATGGTATGGGTTTGTTTGTACTTGTTCTTGAACTAGTGTGTTCACTTTCACACCTATTATGTTGAAGTAATAAATGAGGGATTTAACATTACAAGATTGTAGACTAGCTACATCATCTCAGAACAGATTAGTTAATTTCCATACACAGTGTTTAAATAAAGGATAAGTAGTTACTTTGATACAAAGTAGAAATATATATTTGCAAAGGTTGTGTGACTGTTCTAGTTTTATTTAGTTTAAAGTGATATTCCACAAGACTGAAATCATGTGCTTTAATTAAAACTAATGTAATTGAAGAATTAAAAACTTTGTTTTTTAAAAGTAAACCCTTTAGATTTTCTTTCAGAATCAGAAACTAATCTGTTTGAAATTACATAAAATCAGGTTTTTTTAAAAACACAGACACACCATTTTAATGGTGAGCACTCTAATACAATAAGTATTTCTTCCACAATAGTTTTGGTAACAATATAGGCACATACTGGCATGTAAGTTACATATAGCAACCAGAACAGCAAGGCACAATCTGGATTTTTTTACCTTTCAAAGAGACGTTTAATTTACAAACAAAATATTGTTCTATACTTCATACAGAAGTTTTACATTTGTATTTAACAGCACAAAATCATTACAGAAATGCTGTCATTTAATAAAACAGGCCATTTAAATAAGAGATAGCAGCTCTTTGCTTTGAGGAATTAACGTCTGGATTAGAGGGCAATATATGATATCTCACTTAAAAGGTTTTAAATAGTCAGAACCCTGTGAGCATCCTTTTCTCTATAAAAGTATTGTCTTGCAACTGAAAGTAATTACAATTGGTCTAGTTTATTGGTAGGTGTGTATTTTCCTCTGTGTGTACATGAGAAGACTTGAAAAGTTATATGTAAAACTATCAATTGTTTCTCCAATATAAAAGTAGCTTTTGAAACTTTAATATAAACTATGCTTTCAAAACAAACTTAGGCATGACCTGAAGGAACCGTAAGTCTAACTGCTAGCTTATTCTTGACATGAAGTCCCACTGATGACTGACTGATCTCCTTTATCCACCAACAAGAATGCAGCCGTTAGCATGTAATGCAGAAACTTTAAGTTAATTCTGCCCACTGCTCTAAGAATACACCAGCTGTGCATTTTACATGGAAACATTACCATTAGGACAAGTAGAAAAATTTTGTTTACAAATGAAGATCTTTATAATTTCTAAAAAAAAAAGACATTTCTTCTAATTTTCTTAACTAGCTCTTATATGCACCATTCCACATTGTGGAAAAGCTGAAATATGCAGTTTGGACTCACTCCACAAATCAAAGAAAAACAATGGAATTACAGGTATGGCACAAATACATCTACACCTGTACAAAATAAAACTGACAACCCCTTCCCACCCATTAGAGTAGAACATTTATCTGCTATCCAACAGGTATTTTCAAATAGATTGCCTGATTACATGTGTTAAGATGGGAACACAATCTGAGAATAGTGCATGTGCCAAAGTTCCAAACTGCTTTAGGAGTCTCTAAAATAGAGGAATCAGAAGTATGTCCAAAGCGTTGAGTGAATAATCATTATCCTTTAGCTCCATGAGGTCACTGCAACTGCACTCTATATGCGCCTATGAGCAACTTTACCTGCAAGAAGGGAAAAAAATACTTCAAAAGAGTGTCCATATAATCTGGTAAAAAGGAAGGTGGAAGAAACTTAATAGTAACTGAAGTAAAAATGGAATTTATGTAATCTGTACTTAGTGGATCAGGGTCTTTTTGACCCATAGTCTAAAATGAACATTTTGAAAATCAAAAATTCTAAGGAAAGTACTCAGTGTACTGAAATACCTTTAAGCATCTTCTCGTTAATTAAGCAAACAATTTGTAAATTAGTGTACTCGATCAGGATCTTCAACTAGAACTACAGGCAGTCCCCAGGTTACGTACAAGATAGGGACTGTAGGTTTGTTCTTAAGTTGAATTTGTATGCAAGTCGGAACTGGTACATATTGTAGGGGAAACTCTAGCCAAACATTTCTCCAGAGCTCAGTTTTATTCTCCCACACCTCACTTCCCTCAGTCCTTTATTCTCAAGCTGAGGTGTCTGCTGAGAAAAGCCGCTCCGCATCTCCCTGGTCTGCTGGGGAGGAGGCGCGCTAGCTTTGCGTCTCCCTGGTCTGCTGGGGGGAAGCAGCTAGTGCGGGGTTGCCTCACCCAGTTTGTAAGTAGGGATTCGATGTAAGTCGGATCCATGTAACCCGGGGACTGCCTGTACTTCCCTTTATCATAATAGCAGCAATCAATTTTTGGACCATGTGCAAAAGATAGCAACTTGCTAGGTAAGGCTGAGAGGTGCTTAATGGGACTTTAATACTAAATCCCTTTAAATACCCATCAAGCCTTAATCAGGAGGTGGCTAAGCTACTCAGGAAGGACATGGTTTTAAAAAGACTACCCCTTAGCAACTAAAGGAGCTAGTGAACAGGAGCAGCTAAAGGGAGTTCTCCAGATGAAGATGGAGTGATTATGTAACCCTTGGGGTAAGTTGCTGTCTGTCAAGTGAGAGTTTATGTGCACGCTTGCTGCTTGCCTGAAAGATATGGTGTGCAGAGCATGTTTGTTTGGAGGACCATGTATTGAAGACCTAGTAGCCTGGTAGGTAAGGCAGAGAGCTTCTTAATGACGGATGTGGAAAAAGTGAATTATTTACACCTTCCCAGAACACAAAAACTAGCAGTCACCAAATGAAGTTCAAAATAGTAAGTTTAAAAACAAACAAAGGAAGTACTTCTCTATACAATGCACAGCCAACCTGTGGAACTCCTTGCCAGAGGATATTGTGAAGTCGAAGACTAACATGGTTCAAAAAGAGAGCTGGATAAATTCATGGAGGATAGCTCCCCATCAATGTTTACTAGTCAGGATGGGGAGGAATGATGTCTCTAGCCTCTGTTTGTCAGAAGCTGGGAAATGGGTGACAGGGATTGATCACTTGATTGTGTTTAGGTCACTCCCTATGGGGCACCTGCCATTGGTCATTGTCAAAAGACAGAATATTGGGCTAGACAGACCTTCAGTCTCATTCAGTATGGCTGATCCTAGGTTAAAAGCTTTTGGGAGGAAATGCTGATGTTTTTGAGAGACAGCATAATTAAACAGAACTACATTGTTCTGAGATGCTAGAGACATAAGAACTAAGAGGTGGTTACTCACCTTGTGTAGTAACTTCTTTGAGATGGTTGTCCCTGTGCGTACATCAGTGTAGGTGTTTTGGTACCCTGTGTTTATAAACAGATACAGGCGACCCCCAACTTATGACCCCCCACATTTACGACCGCCCTGCCACGGCCGCCACCTCCACCCAGCACAGCTCCCAGATGGCTCTGAGAGCAGCTCACACCGCCTCCACTTTGTACAGCCCCTGGCTGGCTCTGGGCCTGGTGAGTTGGGGACTACAACTCGCAAGAGGCAAAGTGGGCCAGGAATGGAATCCCCATTTTTATCATTGCTCCTATAGGAAAAAAGGGTTTGACTTACGAGGGCTCGACTTAATTGGTTTGTGGAGAACCGTTGTAGTCGTAAGTGCAGGGGTCACCTGTATTTACAGCAGTAGTACCCCTGGTGGCAGTGTGTGTGTGTGTGCGCGTGTTGCCATTTTGCGAGGCTGCGAGCAGTAACTGACACACACAGTCAACCAGCCCTCCATTCCTCCTCTATTGTGGAGAACTATATCAGACTCCAAAACAGAGGGGAGGAGGGAGCATTGTGGAACACCCACAGGGGCAACCATCTCAGAGAACATAGGTTATTGCACAAGGTAAATAACCACCTCTTCAAGGAGTGACCCAGTGGATGCTCCGCTGGAGGAGTCTATGGTACAGTAATTTACTGGACTGGGAGGGGTTTCGAAGGCTATGTACATTAGATTGTACAGCCGTATCAAATTGTGTGTCCTAACTGGTGTATTTGTCTATGGCATAATGTTTTGCAAATTTGTGTATGGAGGCCCATGTGGTTGCTTTGCATATTCTGGAATTGGGACATTAAGGAATGCTATAAAAAGGTAGCCATTGCCCTCTTAGAATGTTCATATTTTGCCCAGTGCACCAATACTCTTTCTAGAGTAACAGAGGTGGATGCATGATGAAATCCATTTCAATAGTATTTGATTAAATATGATTTGGCCCATGGAACATTCTACTATCAATATAAAAAGTCTGAGCAATTTTCTAAAAGGTTTTGTCCCTGTGCAAAGACCGTATGGTCATCTATGTTATGGTCTCAGGAGATTGCAGCCAAGTGTACTTTACTTTAGATGTTAGCCAGGCAGTGTTTCTTTAAGGAGAGTATGCAGTCCAGAATCTTATGAAGTGGTGTGGAATGCAGAGAGATGGATTGCGATCCCACCCAGGGAAGGAAACAATGCCAATTTTGGGAGTAAGTGCATCCTGTGCTAGTCTTATTTATGGTGAATTATGTATTTCACCTATTCTGAGGCAGATGGATCAGAACTAGCTAGCTCGTCAGCATTATCCCATATGATTTTTGAAAGATCCTGCT